AGGACTGGGGTGCAGAGTTGGCAAACCCCCAGTGACACCTGGCAGCTCTGCCTGGAGTTTTTGCTGGGCTCCCCATGGAGCCCAGCTCAGCATCTCCATCCAGGAGGCCAGGAAGCTGGCAGCTGGCCCACATTCAGCTCCCAGCCCCGGGTGGGCTGTTTGGAGCTCGGCAGTCAGGGCTGCTGCAGCTCCCTCCCGTGCCTCCAAGCAGGAAGGGACACTGAAGCCAGCCTGCTCCATAATGCCTCTAGAGAAACCAGGTGGCATGGCAGAGCTGGCAGGAGGAAACAACCCCTCTTACGTCCCCCATCACACAGCTGGGACTCTGACAGCAGAGCACTCACTCTCTGGAACATCCAGTTCCTTGGCTGCCTGGAAGGTGAGCTTACCGGGGTGAATGCTGACTGCAGCTGCAAACACCAGTGCCCTGCCGACTCTCCCCAGAGGCAAAGCTGTGGCTATTCCCGGCGCAAGAGGTGGCCTCCTTCAGCTGCCAATCCCCCCTGCTTGGCTGGCACAGCTCACTACCAGCTACTCGGGGGTACCATCCTCAGACGGCCATGCCAGAAGGGAGCCCGGGGAGGCACAGATGTTGTACTCTGTCCCCACCCCTACTACAGGAAACGAGGAACCCTCGCAGGGGGATGGCAGATAAGGGACTACCCCCTGAGAGGCCATCTGCCCTGCTCCTAAGGGGGAGTGAAGAGTGAGGTGTGTGCAGGGACAGCCCTCCTGCCTCAGGAGGCACCCAACAGGGTGGCCTCTTCCCCAGAGGTGGTTCTCCACCGCTCCCCAGCAGAATTCTGGAGGGACCAGTACCTTTGCCAGTCTCCTGGCTGCTGCTCTCTTCTGCAGCGCTGTCTGTCTGTAGGTCCTTCTCACAGGGGTTGTGCGACTGAAGGACTCCCCTGGCAGAGGAGCCGTGCCGCTCCAGCCCATCTCGGCCCAGGTCCCGTGGGTGAGCGAGTTTTCGCCGTAGGACTGTGATCTCCTTCTTGATCATTTTGGCCCGGCGGGACCGTCCTATGCTCTGCTTGCCAGCATTGACCTCATCCAGCTGCTCCAGCAGGATCTTCAGCTGCTCCTCCAAGGGCAGGTGCTTCTGATTCTCTGAGAGCAGCAGCCGCACATCTTCTGGGGGAACAAAAAGGAACAGATGGATGAAAGAAATTGGGAACTCTTTGGAGCATCTCTACGTGAAAGGCCATGGGGCAATCTAGGTTCCCTGCAGGAGGGAAGTAGCTGACATGGTATCAAATCCCTGTGAAGATGGGAAGTTACCCTAAAAGGCCTGGAGAAGGAGCCCTGTGGGAAGCAGACAGTTGGGACTGCAGACTGATCAGCAGCTTGGAGAATACCAGGGCTCCCATCGGCTGGGGCAAGGACACAGCAGGAAAAAGAAAGGGGTTTGTAATAGGAAAATCAAGAGTCAAAGGGATCCTGAAGCACTGCAGAGCAGGGACGTTCTCCTGACTGAGCCCATACCACGCTGGAGCAGGGAGGGGGGGACCCTGAAAGCATCCTTCTTTGACGTGCTGCTCCCCACTGCCCAGCAGAGACAAGCAGATCTACAACCACGGAGCCAGTGAGATCTGGTTGAGGGGTAGCAGGAGCTGCATGGCAGCCAGCAAAGCCCACAGCTGGGGAGAGAGGGGGGAGCACACAGCTCTGACCAGGGGGATTCCGTCCTTCTAGCCGGGCAGCACAGCAGAAGCCTCATGGCCAGTGCTGGGGGGCAGGGCGAGTGACAGTGCCCACGTCCCAGGCAGCCCACTGCTCTGACCAAGGGGAGGACAAGGGACCAAGGGACTGGCAGGACATGCAGATAAGCCACTGCCTGGAACCAACCTAACAGGGCCGATAGGTACCTGGCTAGCAAAGCCCCCAGCTCTCCAGGGAGCAGGCACATACAGCACAGGTGTCTGACTGAACCTCCCATGGGAGGCAGCTCGAACAGACCCCCAGGTGCCCTGACTCTGCCCAGGCTTTACCTCCAAGTAGCCCTCATATCCCGGGACAGGGGAGGAGTACCCACCGTCCTCAATGTCTTGGACCTGAGCCTCTTCCACCGTTACACAGTGGGGGAAGTGCATGCCTGTCTCAAAGTCAATGCCCATCTTCTCTGCCTGCCGGCGAGCCTGCCGGAGAACGGCACCTCCCTGCTCTCGCAGACGGATGGCTGCCCGGTAGAAGATTGTGTCTTTGGCATTGTATTTCAAACAGTTGTTGATAATCAGGTTGAAATCCTCTTCAAAGTCGTCGAAATTCAGATAGCGATAGGCTTCCAGGTTTTGTTTCATTGTCTGAAAATCCATCGGCTTCTTGATGTGATCCAGGTAGTCTGGGACCTGCATGAGGAAAGAGCCAGAGCTAAGAGCCCAGGAGCCATCAGTTAGCATTACCTGCTCCAAGAAAACAGTTGTTAGAGGAATCAGGTATTGCCTCCCTGTGTTCTGCCCAAATGCACATCGGGGAATGCTGTCTGCCTTTTGCAGCTTGAGGAACAGCAACGCCTCCGGACTAGGGAGCCCATGTGCTGTACTCGACACGTTAGAGCAGATATGCACTCTGAAGCGTTTTTAAGGCTCCAGCGCACATGCCAGCATCCCATCCTCTCCTCCTGTCTGCGAGCAGCTGGGATTCAGAATGCTACACGGCATTCCCCGGGGAAGGAAGCCGCAAGCGCAGACCCCGAGGGTGAGGGTGGATGCAGACAGGTAAAACAGAACCATCCAGGTGGCAGCAATGGCTGCAGGTGGGGCTGTGCAGCCTTCCTCCCCACCTCTGCCAGGACACCTCCATGCTGGCCTGCTGCCAGGGTCTAGCAGGGCCAGTGTGGCCTTTCCCCACCTTGCTGGGCAGGGACTCAATGGTCTCAGGAATCATTTCCCTTCCCCCTAGCAGTGATAGTCTTGGGGTCAAACCCATTTCTGTGCTGTGCTCGGTCTAGTCACCTAGCTAGCCACCTAGCAGAGGCCTTCATGAGAGGACAGGTAAGAGCGTGCCGCCTGCCAAGGGCCATCACTCTGCCTTTCCCAGTGGGAATCCCCAGCCGCTCACAGACACTGGGGAGTCACCAGCGACACACGCTCAGCTGTTCTGCATTCAGCTCACCCAGGAGGGGCATCGCCGCACACCCCCCTTGGGTGAGTGGTGCTGGGATGCGCGAGCCAGCACCAGGCTGCCCAGGGGAGCTTCCAGAGCAGAGAGCACCCTGGGCAGCCCTTGGCATGAGCAAGGGACAAGTTTGAGTGAAGTAGAAATCTGGGGAAGGGGGTTCTTACTTCGTAGATTTCTGTTACCTCAGACAGAGGGACCGGCTCGCTGAAGATGTTGCCCGTGTCTTTCTCCTGCAGCTGCTCAAGCGTCTTGCGGAGGAGGATGAGGAAGGGGGTCAGCTGCATTTCCAGTGCTACCTGCTGCACTTTGATCTGAAACAGAGGAACAGAGTGGGGCTGAGCCCCCTGCCTGGCAGCCAGGTGGCAGGGACAGTCCCCAGGAAGCAGCGGTGCAGTCCTGCAGGACACTGACACCTCTCCTCACCTGAGGGGCAGGGACTGCACCTCACCCCTGTCTCTGGGGAGCGGAGGCATAACACCAGCTCCAGCACCTGCGCATCCCACCTCAGCCTTGCAGAGCAGCCACCTTTGCTCAGAGCCGCCGGGGCAGGGCACAGCACGGCCAAGGGGGCCCCAGCACACGCCCTACAGCACTCTGAAGAGCCCATGCTCATGTCCACCCCAGCAGCTCCCCAAGGAGGGGCAAACAATCGTTACCGTCTCTCTCTTGAGCTTCTCCCGCTTGCGTATCAGCTCCACCAGCAAGCGTGCACGCTCTAGGTCATGGCGGAGGCGCTGCCATGACTTCAGCTGCTCCTTCAGGGCCCAGTTCTTATCCTCTGTGTCTCTCTGCGGGAACATCAGAGACCATGAGCTGACAGGAGACGTGTTCCCATCTCCACCTTCCTGACGGTGTGCTGGGGTTCTTCCCTGGCAAAGGGAACGGGCATTTCTGACCCGCTGATTCAGCAAAGAACCCGGTTCCCTTGTTGTAACCTAGGCGGGTGACTTGGAAACAGTCCAACCTCTGGCCAGAGCTGAATACCTGCTCCTTGGACACCAAGCCCTCAGGATGCCAGGAGGCAGACATCCCGAGCCTCTGGAAACACTATTCCTAACATGACCAACTGCCTGCAGCTGCCCAAGAGCACAGATCAATAATACCAGGGTCTGTGCTGCTACTCAGAGCTCCAGCAAAGGGCAAGAGGGCAAAAAGGGAACATGGCTCTGGCTGCTTTCACTTCTGGAGCACTGCAGAATGCTGACTTCTATTCTGCCATAGCCAAAGATGAGCAGAATCAGTCTCAACTCTTCTCCAGCAAATAAAAAAATGAGCAGGGGCAAAGGCAGGAGAAACCCCTGCCCAGTCACAGTCTTCAAAGGGCACAGAAAGAAAGATTTAGAGCTCAGACGGGGAGCCAGAAGAGTCTCTGGCACCAGAGACTTCACATCTGTGAAGCGCTGACTAAGGGCTGAGGCAGACAGTGGGCTGGAAGCAGCACCCACAGGGAGTGCTCCTGGAGCTGTTTCAGAAACTGGAAGTGAGGCCTCGGTTCCTTCCAGGCTGTTTCTGGAGATCTCCAGCCATCTCTCTCAACACTCGCTGACACAGCAGCCTCAGACTAGAGCCATTTCTGACAGGTTTGCCATCGCCACCGGCTAAATGCGGGCACAAGGAAGGAACTAACTTCTGCGCGGCAGCATGAGAGGGCAGGATTCCCTTCCCGTGGCAGGCTGCCAATGGCATTGCTGCCTGGCAAATCTCTGAACACTGAGAGCAGAGGAGAAGGTGAAGCAGCGAAAGCAGCTGGGGCTGCCCTTTCCTCATCCGGGAGCTCGTACCCCTGCCCCCCCGCTTCTGCGCCTGCAGGCACCACATGCAGCAAAGGCTTTGAGCCCACAGCTCCGAAGGCGCAGGAAGCACGCGCACGCAGCCAGGATTCCCTGCAGCATCCCAACAAGCAGCCCTTACCTGGTCGCAGTTTCTTTGTGACTGCAAGTGTGTCTGAAGGCGGCGGAGCAGAGGGACACCGTTGCGGGACTGTCTTTTCAGAGTCCAGTAGCTGTGCAGCCTCTGCATGAACTGGCTCTTCCTCTGGATGGTTAAACGGTTTGTAATCTTACTGAGCCTGAAGAAGGGAGAGAAACCACGGACCCCATCAACAAGGCAAGCCTAGCTGCTGCAAGAGAAGCCCTGGCTGGGGGCACATAGCAGCAAGGCCACCCGAGAGTGGCTGAGAAGCTCCTTGGGCAGAGAACACCCATTCCTGTGGCAGGAATTTCTGTAAAACCAAGTCATGCAGGGCAGCCGCCACCCTGAATCAAGCTGCAATGGAGGATGCCAGGAAGCATCCAGCCTTGCCTCTCCAAAACAGACTTTTCCTTTCTACCTCCTGCCGACTTTCAGGAAAAAGCCTGAGGCAGGCTGCACCAGGTCAGGGTACAACACAGCCACATCAGGAGACGGACCTTTAACAGCTCCCACGGTCCCCGAGACGGCGAGTGTTACGGCACTGCCATCCCAAAACCACTATTCACCAGGCTGAGGGCCACTCACAGTGACAAAGGCCCTGGCCAAACATTACCAGACAAACTCAAGCCCCAGATTGCTTGTAACTTGACCAAACCTGGCAAACCATGAGGAGGCAACAGGAGAGCACAAGCACAACAGAGCTCCTGCCGAGCTAATGAAGGACTATCCTAAACAGCCCCAACCACAAAAAAAGGGATTTTCCTACTGTCTACGCCAGCAAAAAGCCTGAAGGGGCTGGGACAGCCTTGTTCAGCAAAGCTGGACAGAGATGCCCTGCTAGCGGGGAGCTGAAGGGATCAACCCCCATAATCTCCACATCTCACAGGGACAGCTTTTTGCAGGGGATGACCCAACCAGCCTCAGCTGAAGAGGCTGGGAAGAGCAGTCTCTTGTGCCATCGCTGGCCAAGCACAGCTCCCACAGGAAGACATTTGGCATTCTGGCAGCAGCCCTTGAAGAATAATTAATCCCAACAGGAAGGCCTGGGGAGAGGTTAACAGCTTCTAGCTCAGTGTGGGTTTCGTTGCAAGCGCAATGATAGCAGCAAGAGCCTACAAACAGCCTGCCAACACGTCCGCACATTAGAAAACAGGCTCTGGCTATAGAGCAAGGCCCGAGTGAGCAAAAACATAAGGTTAGGACACAAACAGACCACATCAAAAAGCCAGCAGCTTGTAGCAGGGACTCCCTCCACAAGTCACCAGAATGCTGCCCAGAGAGCAAAGCCCCCATGGCTTTTGCGCGCTTCCCTCTGACCACACAGGACACAGTCTTGAGGGTCCACAGGGAAGCAGTGGCCCGATGTCCCTGCGCTGTCACAGCCATGCTCAATGGGACAGCAGGTACAGCGCCAGGGCATCACGGGGTGACATCCCCAGCACAGCTCCCAACATGGGGAGGAGAGCTCAGCCGCTCAGGGGTGGTAAACGCTTCTGTGCCCAACCTGTGCTCCAACCATGTGATGCCTGCTGCAGGGTGACAGCAAGATCCAAAACCATCCTAAGATGCTTCTACATGCTTTTGCACGCTGCCGAGGACACCCAGAGTTATAAACTACACTGACAAATTCTGGCAAGGCTCTGAGATGCCCTTGTTTTGGGGTTCACACACCAGCCCAATGATCAGACCAGAGCAAGACAGCACCTGCACTGCCCTCCTGCTGCGAGGCCAACCCCACAACAGTTGTGCCCCTTGGCGGGCAAGGGTCCTGGTCCTCTCCCGGCACCCCTCGCAAGCAGCTGTGCAGAGGCTTTCTGCGCCCCGCTGCCGCCCGGCCCCACTCTGACAGGCGGCACCGAGGCAGAGCTGCTGCCTGCGACTGGCACAAAACACTGAGGAAGTCCAGCTAGGGGTACGCGATTCCTCGGATGGATGAGTTGGGCTCAGCAGGGCACAGGGATCCCAATATGAGACCTCTCTGCTCCAGAGCCAAAACAAGCCCTGGGGTTAGCCTATTTCCCAGGCCTGAGTCACTCCCATACTTCCCTCTTTTCTCCAGCACAACCCTGGGACAAAACAAACCTTGGCAGAAAGGAGAGCAGCCCCCTCCTCCCTTCCCAATTTACTCCAGTGCCTGAGATCAGCACAACAGGAAAGGAGCCCTGGGAACCCCCAGCTGCTTCCTGACACGTCCGGCCAAGTTCATTCTCTGCCGTTAAGCTAACAGCAGCTATTTCCTGCCCCACCAAGGGCCCAGACACCTTCGCAGGGCAGCGCATCGCCCTGCCTCTCTGCAGGACTCCCAGAAGAAACCACCAACAGCCCTCTGCGAGAACAAAGCAAAATGTACCTGTGCAAAAAGCTAAGGAAAGGAACAAGATAATGCCCACATGGAAAGTGGGAGACGAGGCATGGAGAAAGGGAGAAGTTTCCCCACAGGCAAGGGAGGGCAGCGGGTCATACCTGTGTGGGGGGATGCAGGGCACAGAAACCACGGGCGCTGCGGCTCGTTTCTCTGCCAGGATCTTCCGCGCTTTCTTCATCTTGATCCTAGACTTGGCCTTTGCTTTTTTCACTTTCTCAGAGCTCCAGCCCTTCCCCTCCTCCTCCTCCTCCTCGTCCTCCTCTTCCCCTTCGCTGTGGGAGAGGGCGGGAAGCCTGCGCACGGAGCCCGGCGGTGTGTGGATGTCGCAGTAGGCAGTTTTGCGCACGCTGAAGGAGGTACCGTTGGCCCCCGTCTCCCGGACGGGTTCCATCTTCATGTACAGCCCGGCCTGCTGGGCACAGGTGACGTGGAAGGCAGTGTAGCAGTTGGCTTTGTGACACTGGATGCAAGCCCCAGAGCCACGCTGCTTGCAAATGTAACAGGTCAGCTTCCAGCGTGCGGGTGGGATGTGCTCAATGCTGTCAATGGGCTCTAGGAAGACAGTGTTGGCAAAGCACACCTCCGGGATCCAGAGGGCACAGACCACATGTGCCCAGCGCCCATCGTCCGTCTGCTTGAAGGCCCCCCCCTTGTTTGGGCAGAGGGCGCAGTCCACAGCTCGTGAGGGTGACTGCAGGCACCGTCTGCAGAGCCACTGTCCCTCCGGGATGTAGGGCACCCCGTAGCATTCCTGATGCACAGCCAGGTTGCACATGTCGCAGAAGAGGATGACGTTGCTGTTCTGACACTCCCCGTCGTTGCAGATGCAACAGACAGCATCCTCATCCACCAAGGCATTTGGATCTCCCTTGTTGTGGCTCTCAAAGTAGGACTCCTTCTCCAGCCGGTCCATCAGGTACTCAAAGATCTCCTGGGGAATGGGACTCACGCCTTCGGTCTTCCGCCGCTCGTTCATGATGTCCAGCCAGATGTAATCTTCCTCGTCCATGTCGTACTCTACCTCCTCATCCAGCTCCTCTGCTGACTTCTCAATGTACCTGGAAGGACAGCATGGCAGGGTGAGGGCACGGTCGGTGGGGGCTGAACCCTAACTCCTGCAGGCTGTGGCTAAGGGAATGTTTAAACGCTACAGCCAAGCCTTAAGTGGAAAAAAAAAACCAAAACCCCAGGGATGAGGCAGGTACGTGAAGAAGCAGCACAACCTAAGCAGCGCAGCAGCATAACAGCCCACTGGGCCCAACACAGGCAAAATAACACTGGCCTAACGGGTGAGGTATGGGCCTTGGAGAGCCATCAGCGCAAGACAGGAGCCTGAACAAGACACCAGGCAGGTACCAGGCACTCTGGAGACAGCAGCCTCCTGCCAAGGCATAACAGCAAGCAGGCACGGAAGCACCACGCTTTGTTAACTCTAGTGAGTGCGGCTGAGCCCCTTTCTCTTTCACTCCCAGTTGCGGGTGAGGGGATGTTATCTAGAGAGGAAAGTGCTCGAACCCCGAGGCTGCTGCTCCAACGACTAACAGCAACCACCCTCCACCGTCGCAGCAAGCAGCACTGCAGACACCTCAGAGGGACGTTTCTCTTCTAACACCCTGACACAAAATAACATCATTATCCCGTCCCTGGAATGCGGTGCTGGTTTCTCAGGGCACATGGTCACTAGGACAGCAGGGGTGGCTGCACAAGCCTTACTTTGGTTCAGTATTAACTCCCCGCTTGAGGTATTACTTTGGGCCACTGTACTCACCAAACCATGCATGGAAAAACCGTGGGACAAGAAAGACACGAACGCCTTACAGATAAACCTTGGTGTCGGGGGGCTCTAGAGCTATCCCAGAATACCTCTGAAGAGCAGCAGGGAAGGCAGGAGGACGCATTCGGTTTTTGTTATAACTGCACCTGCTGTCTGAGCAAAGAGCATGGCATTCCAACTGCCGGCAACGACCTGAGCAGCGACCGAGTGCTCTGCAGGCACACGGACCCCTCAAAACTGGGGCGTGACGCCGGAAAGAGCTCTGAGAGCCTGAAGCCACAGGATGGCCAGCTCCATGGGACCCAGGAGACGCAAGGCAGAGGCCGTTTCCACAAGCCATGGAGAAGCTACCTGCACAGAGCAGGGCCAATTCCGCCTCCAGACCCAGGGTACAAGCTAGAGCTGCCTGGGAGCCTCCTCGCGCCCTGGCCACAGACAATACCTGTAGTAAGAGGTGGGGCGAGGTGGGGCGTCGGGGGTGTCCTGCTCCAGCTCCCGGTACACCACCTCAGGGAGCTTGGGGGTGGTGCCAGCTGAGGCATTGTGGTGATGGTGGTTGGAGTCCTTGCGCTTCTCCTTGTTCTTGTGCTTGCCGGATTTGGGTGGGACGCTCTGTGTCTCCGTGTTCTCCTTATTGCTGCCGTTCTCAGGCACCTCCTCGGGCACCTCCTCGTCCTCGGACACCACGTCGAGGTTATCGAAGATGCTGATGCGATGGACACGGCCGTGCAGGTCCACCTCCACCATGCGTTGGGCCTGGGCGTAGGTCATCACCTCACGGCCCGGCGACTGGGAGGTCTCGGAGGGGTTGGGCGACTGCTTGTTGGCAGCGCGGGCCTGGCGCCCCTTCTTCTTGTGCTTGCGCAGGGGGGGGGGCTGGGGCGGAGGGGGGTTGTCGTGGTCATAGTGGTAGAGGTGGTACTCGATCCCGCTGTAGCTCTTGTAGATCTTGCGGCAGGTGCCCACCGGGCACTCGTAGGGGGGTTTGGTGGCCCGCAGGTTGTGGCAGAAGGTCTTCACGTCGAAGTCTACGCCCATGGCGTC